TTATATGTATTTCCGTGGTGTTGCTGGTGATCGCTCCTCTTTCATTTGTGATTTTATTTATGTGAGTCCTCACCTTTTTCTTTCTGATCTGGTTGTGGCGTTATCAATTTTTACAAATTCTTTCAAAGAACCACCTCCTTGTTTTATCTATTCTACTTTTATTTTTCATTTAAGTATTCTCAATTTATGCTCTAATCTTTATTATTTCCCTTCATCTACTGTTTGGGGCTTTATTTGCTGTTCTTCTTGCAGCCCCATTAGGTGTACGGTTAGGTTGTATCATTGAGACATTTCTTCCTTCTTTAGGAAGTCCTGGATAGCAATATACTTCCCTCTTATGTCTGCCTTTGCTGGATCCCAAGGGTTTTGGACTGTTGTGTTTTAGTTTTCATTGGCTCCCATGTACTTGTTAATTTCTTCTTTAATTTCTTGGTTAACCCATTCATTCTTTAGTAGGATGTTCTTTAGTATTCAAGTGTTTGTAGTCTTTCCAGAATTTTTCTGGTGGTTGATTTCAACTTTCATAGCAATGTGATGTGAAAATATGCATGGTATCATCTCAGTCTTTTTATATTTGTTGTCTGATTTGTGATGCAGTATGTGACCAATTCTGGAGAATGTTCTGTGTGCACTCAAAAAGAATGTGTATTCTGCTGCTTTAAGATGAAATGTTCTGAATATCTCTGTTAAGTCCATCTGGTCCAGTGTGTCATTCAAAGCCATTGTTTCCTTGTTGATTTTCTGCTCAGATGATCTGTCCATTGCTATAAGTGAGGTATTAAAGCCACCTACTATTATTGTGTTATTATTAATGAGTTTCTTTATGTTTGTGATTAATTGATTTATATATTCAGTTGCTCTCAATTTGGGGGCATAAATATTTCAATTGTTAGACCTTCTTAGTGGATAGATCTCTTAATTATGTTATAATGCCCGTCTTCATCTCTTGTTACAGTGTTTTAAAATCTGGTTTGTCTGATCGCTGTATGGCTATTCTGGCTTTCTTCTGATGTCCATTAACATGTTAGATGGCTCTCCATCCCCTCACTTTCAATCTGCAGGTGTCTTTACGTCTAAAATGAGTCTCTTATAGACAGCATATAGATGGATCTTGTTTGTTTCTTTTTAATCCATTATGATAGCCTATGCCCCTGTCCCAGCCATGAGGAAGAGCATGCCTGAGCCAGGGGCAGCAAGGCCCTTTCCTGCCTGGGCTCCAGCAGCTTCCCTTGCAGGACAGGAGGCCAGGCCACTTCTTCCCTCTATTGGGAGCAGGGAGGGCACTGGGCATTGTGAGGAGTGGAGGGCCAGGGCTGCCTGGGGGAAAGCGGGGCCAACAGCACCTTTGGCTGGCTTCCTGTTTGTTCTCTGTCTAGGAGGCCTTGGAAATCCATCTTTGTTTCCTTGAGGAAGCTATCCCATGTTGTTCCTTGTGTTAGAAGATTTCAGGAACTTTGAAGGCTCAGTATGTGAGTGGCATCCATGCCACAGTTCTTTAAACTTCTCCAGTTCAAGAGTCAGAGTTTTGCCTTAGGTGCAATGAGCTGGGAACCTTCCATTCTCATTTGGGATCCAGAAGGGAATTACGGTGCCCGGGGTGGGCACACGGATGTCTTGGAAACGTGGAAGACCTTGGCAATAACATGCCGGAGTCAGGTAAGCGAGAAATAAATGCCAGAGGCCGTTTTTCTTTCTGGCTTCTTCTCACCCCTTCTCTCCTATGTCTTTGTGTATGAGTGACATCGCTATGTGTGTGCCAGCATTGGCTCGACACTCCAAGAAAGGAAGAGCCACTCGATCTGGGTACAGAGGACCCCTGCTTACAGGCTCACTGGTTGCCAGACATTCACTGAGCTCTTTTCACTCTCGGAAGGGCCCTGTGTTAGCAGTGAGGACCCTAGGTGAGGCAGTACACACCCCACCCACAAATGACTGTCTAGCAGCCAAGGTCCCCAAGGGAAGTCAGGGAGGGGTCCCGGAGAGGAGCAGAACAGGTGAGAGAAGGTTGAGAGGGTGGGCTCCAGGGGCAAACTGGCCAGGGGTCTCTGATCAGTGCAATGGCTTCTGGGCAGCTGATCACAATGAAATGGGGAGGGGATAGTGGCCACACTGCACTCTCTGCCTCCTTCTCTGGAGAGTCGAGGAGTGAGAGTCTGGGTCTGAGGCGCAAAGAGTCAGGTGTACAGAGGGTAGGGCCCTAGCCGGAGCCTGCCAGACTCAAGGTGAAGATCCCGGGGAGCATGTATTATACGGGGACCCCCTCCCCCATCCACAGGTCTACCCCCGGATCCCATCACCAGTCGATGCTGATGGCGCCTGAGGACCCCTGGCCACAGGGTCTGGACTTGACATCCACACACGTATGCTCTGCAGTCAGGGATGAGAAAGGTGGGACCCCTGGTCTGGGATGCCCGATTAGAGTCCGCTGAAGGAAGGGGCCCAGGCCCTGCAGCGAGGCATGCAGGTAGGCCCGTCAGGGATAACGGTGGGCCTCCTACCCCAGAATCCAGGTCAGCCCTGCGGGCAGCGGGGAGAGACACCGACAGGGTCGTGAGATTGAATCCCTCTCCCAGCAGGACTAAGGGTGGTGGGCCCAGGGCCCCAGGAGTCCGGCCCAGGATCTTCCTGGAGCGGTGTCAGAACCTGAGAGTCAACCGTGGGACCCGTCCCACCGGGGAGAGGCGATCAGCCCCTGCCATAGCCCTGGGGACCCTGGAGAAGGTGGCAGATGGCCCTGTCCAGTCAGCTATGCCTCTGGGGTCTGAGGGACCCGAGGACCTTGGGTTGAGGGGCAGGATCCCAGGTCGCAAAAGGGCAAGGGCACGAGTAGGGCCAGGGAGTCCAGGTTGGGGTCGGGGTAGGACCAAGGGACTCAGGACCCCATGACACAGAGACGGGACCTCTCAGAGTTAGGGCCCTGGGCGGGATGTGGATTCATGGCGATGAGTCGGCCAGACTTCCACAGCCAGGTCTCAGAGACATGGGGTGAGGGCCTCGACACCTCACGTCCGCAGAGGGCAGGCCCCGGTCTTGTGGAGATTCCTGGTGAGGATGCAGAGGGAGGACAGAAGGAGCCTGGACCTCACATCAGAGTGAGTCCGGGCAGGCCCCCAAGTGGGATGGGGACACTGGTCGAGACTGGATTCGTGCATCTGGGTCTCAGGTAGGCAGGGCTACGGAGAGGGGGCGGGGTTCTGGGGTCTTACAGGTCAACTGGGGAAGAAGGGATACCTGCTATCTGTAAGGAGCAGCCACTAAGGTGGGCAGAGGAGAGAGGGGACCAGGTGCTATCAGGGCCCAGCCCAGAGCTAGGAAGTCAGTCCCTGGTGCAGGCCCGGGGAGCCTCTGCATGCATTGGGTGTCCAGGGGTGATGGGTGTCCAGTCACTGTGCCTGGGCCATGCGTCTCAGAGAACTTCGGACCCGGTCTGTGGGGCACGAGGTCCTGTCCTCAGCGTGCATGTGCACGGGCCATCCCTGGGGTGCAGGTGTCCACCAAGGCAACACTGAGGGAAGGACCCTGGCCCCCAGAACAGAGGCCCTGGCCTGGATGGCTACCCCTAGTGGCAGCCTAGGGAAGCCCCTATGGGAATGAGGTCCCGTGGGATGATGGGACTTCTGCATCCGGGTCTCAAAAGACTGTCTGGAACAGGAAGTCCGCTTCCTTGGTGTCTTGAGAGCAGCGGGTCGCCTCCGGTAGGCAGCAGGAAGGGCCTAGAGCCTACTAGGCTTCAGGGTGAGGACCAGAAGGGAGGACTGAGGGACTCAGTCCAGTGGGGGGGGGGCGGTGGCCACAGGGTGAGGAGACGATGAAGACGATGGGAGGTATGTGGGACTTCGGAATACTGGTTTGAGGACACTGGCCCCGCGGGGGTGGGGGGCAGTGGGGGGGAGGGGCTTGGTGTCTAGCAGCAGAGCCTCGAATCCGGTCAGCAGCGGGAACGCCCTGGAGTCTATCTACTAGGCTCCAAGGTGAGGACCAGAGGGAGGATCGAGGAACCCGGGACCCAGAAGGGAATCAGTAAGGTGAGGCGTGGGGGCGGGTTGAGAGGGTAGAGGCCTCAGGGTGGGGCGACGACGACGAAGTGAGGCACGTGGCGACTTCCGCTCTGGGTCCCAGTCAGACTGAGAGCTTGTTGTGTGTGAGGAGCAGACCTCGGGCGGCAGAGCCTGAGGCTCAGGCCGTCCAGGGAGTCTGGTTGGGGATGAGAGGATAGGGCTGAGGGACCCCAAGGAACCCATCTCAGAAGCTGCCGTCAGTCCCAGGACTTTGTGGACTTTGAGGCCTCATTTGACCTACAATCCTTGCCCATGCTTCTCATGGGAGGAGNGGAGAGGGGGCGGGGTTCTGGGGTCTTACAGGTCAACTGGGGAAGAAGGGGTACCTGCTATCTGTCAGGAGCAGCCGCTCAGGTGGGCAGAGGGGAGAGGGGTCCAGGTGCTATCAGGGCCCAGCCCAGAGCTAGGAAGTCAGTCCCTGGTGCAGGCCCGGGGAGGCCCTACATGCATCGGGAGGCCAGGGGTGATGGGTGTCCGTTCACTGTCCCTGGGCCATGCGTCCCGGAGAACTTCGGGCCCGAGAGGCCCCTGAGCCGGAGGACAAGCAGCATGTGCCCACGTTCACAAGCGGGTCTGAGGCCGGGGCTTGGGGTGAGAGCCAGCTCCTCGGGTCAGCAGCAGGGAGGGTCCAGATCCAGCTGCGGTGGGTGCAGGTGAGGGCCATCAGGGAGAACTGAAGGGACCCTGGACCCACAAGGCCATCATGGATGGGACCCCTTGAGCAGTCGTCCACCTTGCTCCCAGCCTCTGCCTCCCCAATCCCGCCTTCTCCCCTTACCCACCCCTAGAATTTGGCCTTGGATCTCAGGGATGTGTGGGTCGTTCGGAGGGGAAGGACTGAGGACAGCAGAGGGCAGGGACTTATGTCTTGTGGCAGTGAAGGAGGGATGCGAAAGGGGCATGAGGACCTGAGAGCCTACAACAGACGTTGATGTTTTTTTAATTTTAACTTTGCTTTTCGCCCTTGGGCTCCTGCTTGGATGTCCTCCATGGCGGGGCTGAGCAGAAGAAGTGTTTCTTGTGCATCCAGGGTCTGAGGGGGATGAGGGCCTTGGTCTGAGGAGCGTAGCCTCAGGTCACCACAGAGTGGAGTCTCAGGGTCCTGAGACAGGACGGAGCAGACCCCCACCCAGACCTAGGGGTACCAAGCAACTACCTGCCCTGCGGGTCAGTCCCGCCAGCCAGGGCCCGTGTCAGGTGGAGGAAGCAGCCCGCTTTGTCCTGTGGGTGTCAGCGGGAGGGTGGCCTTGGCCCGCAGGAAGACACATCCTCAGGTGAGCAGAAGGGATAGTTCCAGATCCTCCGAAAGGACACACCAGCACCTTGAGGCAAAGAGTGGACTCCCACGCCAGGACAGAGGGGCCAAGCCCCACTCTCAGCTCTTTGGGAATTTGTTGGGGGGTAGGGGGTAAAGAGAGGGCATGAATGGATGACCCTTCACCTTTCTCTCAGAGTTCTTAGGGAGGTGAGGATAGGAGTCAAAGAGAATGGTGTCAGGTCATGTGAGGAGGCACATCTGGGCCACGGAGAGGAGCCCCAGGTCCTGCCAACAGTCCATGTTGGGAGCCTGTGAGGGAGGCCTGAGTGGACCCCACTTCCGCGGAGGAGGGGGCCCCACGGAAACCTAGCCTGCCCATCCGGTCAGCCCTGGGACCCCGGGGCAGGGCCCATCAGGCTGAGCTCTCCTCCTTTCCAGTCACAGGGTCTCAGCGAAGGGAGGCCTGGGTGTGAGGGCCTGGACCCAGGTCAGCTGAGGCAGGATGCCGGGCTCTGGTCGGGGTGGAGGTGAGAAAGCAGGAGAGGCCTCCCAGACCAGGAAACCTACTTAGGGACCAAGCCTGCCCTGCTGCTCATGTCAGCCTCGGGGGGACCCGGGCTGGGTGGGTGGACTGCTTTCTCCTGATGTTTTCTAAATTTTTTAAAATGTTTTATTTATTTTTTGAGAGAGACAGAGAGAGACAGAGAGAGAGAGAGAGAGAGATACAGTAGGAGCAGGGGAGGGTCAGAGAGAGAGGGAGATACGGAATATGAATACAGGCTCAAGGCTCTGAGCTGTCAGCACAGAGCCTGACGAGGGTCTCCAGCCCACGAACCGTGAGATCATGACCTGAGCCAAAGTCACATGCTTAACCTACTGAGCCATCCATGCACCCCTCTCTTGACATTTTCTTCTAGGGTCTTTGAGAGAAGAGGACTTGGCTTAAGGAGGGTGGCCTGAGGGCCACACAGGGAGTCCTCCCAGGCCCCCAGGGAATCCAGGAAAAACTGAGAGGGGCACCCGTTCCACCACTGGTGGAAGCCAGGGCGCGGCCATCCTTCCTGGTGGACCTTTGGCAGGCGTGTCCAGATGTGCCCCACCCTCCCCCCCACCCCCGCCCCACCGGGCTTTGGGTGTTCCAGTCTCAGGGCTGTGTGGTCTGGGCCTGAGACTTTTGCCTCAGGCCGGCAGAGGGGCGGGGCCCAGGCCTGCCAGGGACCATAGCAG